ACCTGCCTGCTCCAAACAGTTCTGAACTGTTTTTTAGTTTGATTTCATATATTGATTGAATCAGTCATAAATCTTCATTGTGAATCTTCTTATGCTGTTGAGATAGGATTTTTTAAAAAAAGGGAGGAAGCACCATTCCCTTTCATATTTTCTAATAAGGAGAAATAAAGTGTTTATGAATCAGTGACTAGAGTTGCTTGGACATATAAGAAATTTTATGGCGTTTAGAAGAAAAGATATTTTTTGTCACTGAACCAAAAAAAAAAAGAAGAGGATATTTTGTCAGCCTTATTTTAACGGTGTTTAAGAGTTATTTTGGGATTAAATAATGATGTGTAAAATTAATTTAGCTGTCATAGTTTGATTGGCTAACTTGACATACTTGACTTAAGTAACTTGATATAAGTTTTGTCCATATATATATATATATTTGGGTTACGAACGCTAAGAATTATCTCTTCAAAATACCACGGTAGGCAAATTACTAGATTTTTTTTTTCGGGATACAGAAGGGGGCTAAGGCCCTAAAACAGCAAATAAACTGAGAGTGGCGGAATCTAATCCCAGGCAATCATTAGCAACCCCTTGAGAGCAGCCCATTGCTCTGCTTCAAACGCACTACAAATGCGAAGGCTATGAGAAAATTCCACAGTCCACGAGCGCATATGATCTCTAAAACCACCCCCACAACTAGCTCGGTTTCTAGAAGAGGACATCACTCTATCAACATTTAATTTAACCCAATTCAAGGGTTGACGTTGCCACGCATGCCGTGGGGAGTTGGACAATTGAACAAAGTGAATATTCTGCAAATGAACAAAACTTTTTTCAGTTTTGAGTAATACATCAGATGCAAGCCCCTCCTCGGATGGAATCTTCCTTTTTGGCTCCTCAGCCTCCGGGGTATTAGCAGCGGTTCCCAGCTATTGTTCCCTCCTATAAGGGCAGATTCTTATGCGTTACTCACTCGTCCGCCACTCTTCCTTTCGTTGGGGAGTTAGACAATTTAACTAAGTCAATTTTCTGCAAATGAACAAAACTTTTCTCAGTTTCCCAGTAATAGAAGAGGCAGGCTCCAAAGGTCTAGAGAAATCAGTCTTAAAGACAGCTTCATTCCTCCATTTCCAAAGTTTCTGAGTGGTTACACCCCCAACTTAAATCCCAGTTTCCCAAGGCATGAACACCAAAATCTCTTTTCAGATTTAAAGCAAATCAATCATGAATATGAACAGCGAAAAAAGAAGATAAATACCTAGGGTCGAAAAGCTGAAGTAGAGGACCAAAGGTTTATCCAGACATTAGCAGGCAATCTGTTACTAAAAGCAATCCACATAAAAACCCCGTAGCATTCCAAGAAAGAGCATCCTCACCAGCTTCAAGCATTGGACGTAGCATGGAAATAAGTGTTGGTAAGATTTCACTGGGAATGATAGGAACTAGGCACCCCAAGCACCAAAACCAATCCAGTCAGCAACTTTATTTTGCTCTCCTTCCAAAGTCAGAGGTTTTCTACACACGGATTTTAAAGACTTATCAGGGAGGAGCCATTGATCAGTGAAGAAATGAACTGATTTCCCATTTCTAATTGTCCATTTCATTCAATAACTAACTAACAATATAAGTTCTACCCAATTCGGATGAGAAACAAAACGTGTAAAAAGATGGTGCTTACAAGAATCTCAGAAAGTGTTTGTTTAATATTTATCAATTATCATAATTGCCATTCATTTGTTCAATACTCCCTCCGTTCCTTATTATAAGAGACGAATAACCGAATTACGTTGATAAAAAAAACATTTAAAATTAGTTAAGAACAATTAATATGTAAAAAGTATAATTTTTTTTCTAAAAATGCCCTCATTAATAAGGAGAGAGAACATGAGAGAGAACAATAGTAATTTATTAAAAGAAAGAGAAGTGGGAAGGAGAGAGAGTGTGAGTTTGAGACAATAAATATGGGTAAAATAGGAAATCAACACAAAAAGGTAGAGACAACTTTTAAGTGTCTCTTATATATAGGAACATGCCACAAGCACTAAATGTCTCTTATAATAAGGAACAGAGGGAGTATTTATCAACCATCAATTGTGCTTCATAAAATTATCACTTCACCCTTGTCCTTGTGCGTCAAAAAATTCATTTAGTAATTTAGACATTTAAAAGAAAAAAAAATGAAAAACAATAGGTGTTGATCATAGTGAAAGAGACTTTAGCTGTTCAAGCACGAGTTCTTAAGTTCGAGTCATAGTCCATGTGAATGCAAAAAAGGTCTTTGTAAAAGTTAATTAAATTGGGCCCAACTTTGATCGAATCTAACCTAGTCAAATACCCATATAAAAGGGAAAAAAAACAAGAAGGATGCCAAAGGTGTTATTTAGGATAGTCAAGCATATGATCCTTAATCTTATAAAGATAAGTAAAGCTCATACAGATACTTAATTATGTTTATAGAGTTGTTATGTTTATAGAGTTGTAATGCATAGAGTATAATAACATTATATAGTATACATGATGAACATAAGGCTTACTGATATTGTAGTTATGAATTATCAATTATGCCGCTATAAGTTTGACATTTTTTTCAAGGCATGCTCCTTTAAGTTACTAGAGTGCTTTAGGCTTGTTGCTACCAAAACCATTAATACTAAAGCTTACCTGAAGTTACAGCTTTTGTTTCTTAATGACCACTCATCTTCTTAGAACTGTCACTTAATGCTTATGGATTAGATGCTTCTACCAAAAACATACGGTTTAAGATGGGTAGATGTGAAAATAGTTATAAATAGGTAAATGTGAAAGAGTAATAGTAAAAATCAATCATATAATTTTTTAACTAAATTATACGGTTTAAGAAAACAGTTAAAATTAGTTAAAAATAATTAATATGTAGCAAATACAATTTTTTTTAAATATACTCCTATATATAAATGGGTAGATGTGAAAGAACAATAGTGAAATAAATAAAAAAATATATTAAATGTATTAAATTAGCGATAAAATAGGTAATAATATATTAAATGCTCTGATAAATTCAAAAATTTTTTATAAAAAAGAACATACCTATTTAAAAAATTGAATCTTATAGGGGACGGAGGAGTTTAACATTTTACTACTGGTATTAGTTTTTCGAGGCAGTAAATAATGCCAAATAAAAAAAGAAGTCACGAAGGAAATTATTTTAATTCTAAGTAATTTATTCCTTATGTTTATCTATTATAAGTTATTTTCTTACCTCAATCTACTGTAGCTTAAGTTGAAGAATGTTCTCATTTGGTTTCAATTTTTTCTGCCATCATAATTTGGTTTCAATTTGAATCGTATTCATATATGAGAATTATTATTATTTGTTTATGTATCACTTTTAAAAAAATCAAGTAAAGCAAGGCATTTTATTATTTATATCTCACTCCAAAAAATTATTATTTACTACCTATGGTCCTTAATATAAAGTATTGTTTAATTTTTATTTTGGTTCTAAATATAAGATCCCAATATACTTTGTCTCTCATATTTATGTATTTTTTTAAGGTAACCCTTCTAATAATAGTAGTTCTAGTTAATACATTTAATTAGTAAGAATATTTTAGAAAAGATAATATTTATTTATTACAAATAACTGACTTAACTTATTTTTTTAATCTACTCAAATTAATCAACTAACTCTTATATTTAGGACCAAAGGTAGTAAAATGGGAGTGGGGTCTATTGACGTGGATGTCTGTATTTTTTACTTTTAGCCACGAGATATATGTGTCTATTTTAAAATTAAAATTTCAATCAAAAGTAAGATTGAACAAGTTAAATAAATTATTTAATTATAACTTATATGATCTATCTAAAATATTTGAGTGGATAATTAGATTATATATTTATAATCACATATTATGTATTAGTTTATGATTTAAGAAAATTAGTTTGAAAAAAAAATAAATATAAGTAAGTAATTTATTTAATCTTTTCAAATTAGTTAATTAGATCTTATATTAAAAATTTAAGATAATATAATTGATAGTTTACTTTAACAATAGTCAAGTTTAAATAACAAAACAACTCTTAAAAAGTAGAAAATTATTAGATATTGGTAAATTATTTAAATACTTGTATCAACCTCATATCTTTTTTTCCAACACAATATTATGGGACCGGAAAAATACAAAAGTAACACATTATTACAAAAGAGTAATGAGACCTTCTCTTTTCACAGTATTCTGTTTTGCTATTAAAATTTAAATCAATATTGGGTAATTTGGGTGAGTGAGTACAAAGAGATACAAATACTCTCTAGTTATAAACATAAGACAATTTCACAGTCCTAAAAAAAAAAAAAGTAAGACTGTATGCTTATCCAAAAGGTCCAAGGTATCAAATAGCATATGAATATACTTCTCCGGTCCTAAATATAAAACCCCTTTTATAGTGTAAATTACACTACAAAAAGAATACTAAATTTACACTACCAAATAGGTCTTATATTTAGGACTGGATGAGTAATTTGTAAAGGCTTAATTTTTTTCAGAGTTTAACATGCAAGTCACAAATAAAAAAATGAATCAAAGCCATTACAGTTATGTCATATATTGACTTTTGTCCTTCATCAATCCCCCTCTATAATGGCACGTCATCATCAGTGCCAGGAAAATATGAGCAAGGAACTAAAGGAAACTCCAATCAGAATGCATAATGGCATCCCCTAATGCACAAATTTTGACTAGTTATCTTAATTTCAAGGAGTACATGTAGAAATTTCTCCTTTCATATAGGAGAAAAGAAGCAAAAGACTGATGATATACTAAGTATGAACTAATGGAAAATGAAGAACATTTGAAAATTTTTATGGCAAACTACAATACCCTGATTAAAACTAAACATATAGCCCAGGGAATCAGAACTACAACCCAACCAACCAACCAACCAACCAAACACCTCTACAAGATCTTTACCACTGAACCCTTTTACCATTTATTAACAAGATCGATATAAACAACAGATATTCTCTATTATGTTACAACTTTCATCTGATATTAAGCCACACCCAAGTATAAATTGATAGTGCATATTTACTCCAACAAAAAGCACAAGAGGTAACTTATATTTGTTTCTAACACATATGGTGTCAAAAAAGACTACATCACAAAAGATTTTTGAGACGTTGATCCTCACCAATATCTACTGCGCAAAAGAAATTTGAATTCATACTGCACATCTGCACCCAAAAATCAAGTAGAAGCTTGGCATCCCCTCACTCCAGGCCCCAATTCAGACCAACCACGGTTTTGTATTCAGCGAACTGTCTAGCCATTGCAGCAAAAAAATTTCTTGTTTGCTCACCGACAGCTTAAGCTGGTAAAAGCTCATGATTACATTCCTTCACAAAACTATGCATTACCCATTTTCCATCAAGCCTTCTTTTTACATGCTTGCTTGCTTTACAATCAGTCTTAGAACAAGATCTTCGACCAGTTGAATTTTCAGCATCTTGCTTGTTCTGTCGGGCATGTGTCGATTGAATGATTTGCCATGCTCTCTCTCTCTGTTCCATACCTGGAACAAGCAAATTTTGCATTTATAGATTCTCGTGCTTAAGCAGGCCTCTTAAATAGTGATGAACCTGAAAAAGTCTAGGGTGCATGGAGCTTTTTGGATGCGCTTGCAAAAATGATGAAACTAAGCAACCAAAGGTGAGAGAGGAGAGGAATTACAGGAGTGAGATATGTCTAGTGCTCTGATCTGATGGAATTACTATAGGGAGAAGAGGAATTCTAGGCGTCAGTTTGGTGATAGATGCCAGTGTGTGTGAGCATGTTCCATCAAGCTCATGTAAAGCCATAAAAAAAAAAAAAAAAAGAAACCACCAGTTACAACAAAAGTAATAAATAAATAAGTAAAACATATGACCTTACAAACATCACTACAGCCAAACTTTTTCCCCTAAAAAAACACATTGGCCACCCTTTTCCATCATGAACACCAGTAACACAAAATATGGAGTAGAGTGACAAACCTTCTATCATTTCAAGAGACCTTGCTGAATAATTTGTCGACAAGATTCTTTGCCTCATCATTCTCACCTTTTTCCAAAAGAGGTATAATAAGTGTTTCAAAAGTTATAGCATCAGGTAAGCATCCATTCTCTTTCATTTTATAGAGCAAGGCCTTTGCCTCATCATATAAACCCTCTTTACAAAGTCCTTTGATCATAGCAGTATATGCTTGGACATTCAAAGGATAACCATTAACCAAGAGAAGCTGGAAAATCTGTTGCGCATCACTTAATCTGTTACCCTTACACAAACCATCAATAAGTATGGTATATGTGTAAGTATCAGGCTGAATTCCTTGGTTAACAATTTGCTTAAATAATGCAATTGCTTGGTCAAGATGTTGACTTTTGCACAATCCATCTAATAAAATACTGTAAAATATTATATTAGGAGTATGGCCACTAACATGCATCTCATAAATAATATCTTGCACTGCCTGACTTGAACAAACCATCGATAAGGGAACTATAGATGATAGTATTGGGAGTCAAGCTTTTATGACGCATTTCTTTAAAGAGATTCACCGCATCATCCACCATCTTGATTTTACAAAGTCCATTAATCATAATGCCATAACTAATAATACCAGGAGCCAAACCAGTATTGACCATCTTATTGAGTAATTCTCTTGACTCACCAACATTATTGATCAAAAAGTAACCATCCATTAAAGAATTGTAAGTAAAATGATCAGGCATTGTACCATACTTCATCATCATGGCAACAAAAGCTTGAGCTTTAGTCATACTTCCTTCCTTACAAAATGCATCGACCAATATGTTAAAAGTATACACATTAGGGTTGATGCCTTGATGTATCATTTCATTGAACAATTTTGTAGCTTCTGCCTTTTTACCCATGACACAAAAACCATATATCAAAGAGCTGTAGGTTACAACATTAGGAGATACTCCGTGATCAATAATTTCATGAAATAAATCACAAGCTTCAGTTATGAGTCCTTCCCTGCAAAAGCCATCAATAATCGTACTATACATAACTAAGTCAGGCTTAACTGGCCCTCTCGCCATTTTTATGAGTAATTTAATAGCAGCTCTTGTTTTTCCATTTTTACATAGTCCATTGATCAGTGTGCCATAGCTAATTGCATTTAACAGAAATCCTTTTGCTATCAGATCGTCATGAAAATCCAAGGCTTTTCCAACGTCATTATTGATGCAAAGGCCCTTCATTAGTGTGGTGAAAGAAATCGTATCTGGCCGATAGCCCATCTTAAGAATCTTGCCTAAGGCAGAGAAAGCAGAAGCCATTTGACCCAAATGGCAGTAACTATTAATCAAGATGCTCAGCGTTACCAGAGATGGCGTGAATCCCTTAGATTCCGCTTGTGCAAAAAGGGAGATACCTGTTCGATGATGTTTCAACTTTGCAAGAGCTCCTAAGATCTTAGTAATTTGTATTATCGAGGGTTGGGGGCGCACATGAAGCAAGAGATTAAAAGAAGAGACGGCCTCTTCAATATTCTGAGGATTTGTCGAATTGGAATGGAAACAGAAATGAAGAGTCGGGGCATGTGAGGGAGGAAAAAGGAAGGCAGACGTAGAAGCTGCAGAAAACAAAGGAAATCGGGAGAAGAAATACCGTGAAGGAGCGATGCAAAATGACATCTTCAGTTGCATTCAGAAATTCAGATCCTTCAACAAAGCCTTCCGCTAAGAATTGGGCGGTTTTATTATCACTTTTAAGAGAATCAAGTAAAACAGGGCATTTTATTATTTATATCCCATTCCAAACAAATTATTATTTATATCATTTTGATTTCATTCAAAAAGAAAAATGGGGTGGGGTCTATTGATATGGATGTCTCTATTTTTTACTTTTAGCCACGAGATATATGTGTCGATTTTAACATTAAATTTCAATCAAAAGTAATATTAAATAAGTTAAATAATTTATTTAATTATAACTTATATTATATGATCTATCTAAAATATTTGAGTGTATAATTAGATTATATATTTATAATCACATATAATATATATGGTTTAAGAAAATTAGTTCAGAAAAAAAATAAGTAAATAATTTATTTAATTTATTTAATCTTTTTAAATTAGTTAACTAGATCTTATATTAAGAATTCAAGATAATATAATTGATAGTTTACTTTAGCAATAGTCAAGTATAAATAACAAAACAGCTCTTAAAAAGAAGAAAATTATTAGATATTGGTAACTTATTTAAATACATGTATCAACCTCATATATGTTTTTTTCAACACAATATTATGGGACCGGAAAAATGCAAAAGTAACACATTATTACAAAATAGTAAATACATCTTCTTCTTCTTCTTTTTTCACATTATTCTGTTTTGCTATTAAATTTTAAATCAATATTGGGGAATTTGGGTGAGTGGGTACAAAGGGATACAAATAGGAAAAATGACTAGAAAATAACTGTTAAAATTTAAAATGACAAAATGGGCACGGAATAACTGAAATGATCACATGAGTACGAGGTATCAATATGAAATTTTGACAATTCGGTAGAAAGTCTAAAATGCCACTAACACATATTTAGAGCCAATTTTACTACTCCGGTAATGATAATAACAATATTTATAATATGAATTATAATTTTCGTAATGAGAATTACCATCTTGCTATTGTCATTTGCAACTCGTTTCTTTCAAACCCAAATAATATGTATTTGGAACCATTTTCACTATTCCAGTAATAATAATGACAACATTTATAATGTGAATTATAACTTTTTTAATGAAAGTTACCATCTCGCTATTACCATTTGCAACTGGTTTATTTCAAATTCAAGTAACATGTATTTGGAGTCAATTTCGCTATCCTAATAATGATAATGACAATATTTGTAATGTGAATTACAAGTTTCATAATGCAAGTTACTATTCGCTATTGTCATTTCCAACTCGTTTTTTTCAAACCCAAGTAACATGTATTTGGAGTCAATTTTATTATCCTAGTAATGATAATGACAATATTTGTAATGTGAATTATAACTTTCGTATTGAGAGTTACCACCTGTTCATGTCTTCAGAGAGGTTTAGGGATATTTTAGTCTTTCTAACGAATTGTCAAAATTTCAAATTAATACTCCTCCGGTCCTTATTATAAGACCCAATTTGACTTTTTATTTGGTCTTAATTATAAGACCCAATCCATTTTTTCTCTTATATTTATGCATTTTTTCCAAGATAATCCTTCTAATAATGATAGTTTTAGCCAATATACTTAATTAGCAAGGATATGTTAGGAATAACAACACTTATTTATTATAAATAACCAACTTAACTTACTTCCTTAATCTCCTCAAATAAGTCAATTGGGTCTTATAATTAGGACCGGAGGAGTACTTCGTGTCTATTTAATCATTTCAGTTATTTACGTGTCCATTTGGTCATTTCAAATTTTGACAGTCATTTTTTTGGTCATTTTCACATACAAATACTCTCTAGTCATAAACATAAGACAATTTCACAGTCATTAAAAAAAAAAAAGAAGACAATTTCTGAAAACAGTGTTTCCATCAAAATATAGGCAATCTTGCAACGTTAAATATTTTTCCCCCTAAAACCATCGTTTTCCTTGTTTAATGTAACCTACATAATAGTTTTGGAAACTCTACCATTATATAGTTAATAATGATAAAATTGGAAAGACGTAAAATTTTCAGAAAAAAATTAATAACAAAAATAATTTTAAAAAACAACATTTAGGATAAATTAAACAAAATTCTGTTAAACTTTGAATAACGCACAAATAAAATTATCAACCTTTACAACTAATAAATAAACCCCCTAATCATTAATTATATGCTCTCTTAAATTTTATTTTCCCATGTATATAACATCAAATTCTGAGTTATACGTGAATAATTTTCCAAAATTTTAGGTTCTCTGCGGACAATTTGCACACTAAACTAATAGCATAAAGATCACATGCATCGACATAATATATGAGAGGGTTTATGGCAAGTTTCATTGATTAGAAAATTTATCTATATATAATGTATCAGTATATAACATAAAATCTAGTAATTAATAATTTAACTTAAAATGCTTGAATTAGTTTAAGCTGCCTTTTAGACACGCACAAGTAAACGATGATTTTTAAAAAATGCCTAATATATATAATTAGGTTTAGGTGCAAATTTATCTGGCAAGCTTTTAATCTTGAGTACTTGACGCTTGAAAATTTTGTTATGTTCAATATTCTGAGTCCCAACACTGGATTTCAAACTTGAAGAATAATATTAAACTCAAAAAAAAAAAAATTTTGGGTGCCAAACGTTTTCGAGTAAAAATTTTTGAAATAAATTTGCACCTTAATCATATATAATTTAGTTAGGATTTTTTTGGAGTATCAATCCACCGATATACTGTACAGATATTTGATACTAACATGACCTAATTTATTGTTTCTTGTAAAACTTTATCCACAACTGCCAATACGTAATAACTTTTTGGTTCAACACCACATGTATCTTCTTTTATAAAGAAGGTTATGAATCCACGGGGCAGGGTTAAATTGTTAAAATTTAAATTATTCATGACAAGATGCTGGTGACAAAACTTTAAACAGTCTAACAAGTAATAATTTCAAAAATAAGACAAATGGCTTTAGAAAGGAGGGATCAGTTGCCAAATATGCTCAATAGAGGTACCACTTGACCCTGTGCTTCTAAAAATTGCAACTCATTCGTTTAATATTTATCAATTATCTATTGTGCTTCATAAAATTATCACCTGATTCTTATGCTTCAAAAATCGATTACAGTAATTTAGACACTTTTTTTTTTTTGGGCGAGGGGGTGGGGGAAAGGGAGGAAATAAGGTTGAATTTGGTAAGAAGTATTGAAAATAAAGGATAAGAATTGTGATTGGGGTTAAAAACATATGTTAAAAGAATACTTAGCATGAGTGATTTTTTATCACATGAGATTAGGCAATCCCATATAAATAGGATTGGAGAATACCATCTCCCCTCATGGTATTTCCCAATCCCACATATATGGGTTTATCTAATCCCAAATATCATATAATTACTCATACTAAACACCATTTAATGCAGTTTTGTACTTTCAATTTCAATTCCTATTTTTTATTTTTAATACTTCGCACCAAACAAGACCTAAAAGAAATGGGAGGAAGTATGTTGATTTTTGTCCTTCATTCGTTCCTTCTCTGCAGATGAGCAAGGAACTAAAGGAAACTCAAATCAGAAGGCATCATGGCATCTGCTAAAGCACAAATTTTGACTAGTTACCTTAATTGCAAGGAGTGAATGTAGGAATTCCTCATTTTATCCGGGGAAAAGAAGCTAAAGAAAGTGACGATAATAAAACATGAACTAATGGGAAATGAAGAGCATTCAAAAATTTTCATGACAAACTACAGCACTCTGATTACAACTGAACATGTAGTCCTAAAGAATCAGAACTACAATACAAGCAACCACCTCTACAAGATCTTTAACACCAAAACCTTCTGCAATTTATTAACAAGATCTATAATAAACAACAGATATTTTGCATCATGTCACGACTTTCATCTGATATTAAGGCAGACCCAAGCAGTAAAAATTGATAGTGCAGATTTACTCCAACAAAAAGTGCAAGAGGAAACCTATATTTGTTTCTAACATAGATGGTGTCAAAAGAAACTACATCACAGAAGTTCATATAGTCATGCCTACATTTAGCAGTAATCCATCGAAAGTTTTTCAGATGTTGATCCTCACCAATATCTACCGCATAAAAGAGGTTTGAATTCGTACTATGCATCTGCACCAAAAAGCTCAAGTAGAAACTTGTCATCCCCTGACTCAGAGCCCAAATTCCAGCTTTTGTCAAATGGCTCACTCTTGAGACCAACCACAGTTTTGTATTCAGCAAAGTGCCTACCCATTGCCGCATTCATTTTTCTTGTTTGCTCACTGACAGCTTGAGCTGGTAAAAGCTCAGGATCATGCTCCTTCACAAAACTATGTACCCCTCCGGTTTTTAATATAAGACCTATTTAACCAATTTGATTAGATTAAAGAAGTTAAGTAAGTTAGTTAATTATAAGAAATATGACATGTATTTTCTAAAACACTATAATCATCTTTTTTAATACCTCTTCTCACTCTTCTACTTGATTATGGTTGAGGGAGTATCCATAGGAGTAATTTAGAAAAAATTAATAAATATAAGAAATGTGTTTTATATTTAGGATCAAAAGTAACTAAACAATTGGGTCTTATATTAAGAACAGGAAGAGTATTACCCATTTTTCATCAAGCCATCTTTTTACATGCATGCTCGCTTTGCAATCAGTCTTTGAACAAGATCTTCCACCAGTTGAATTTTCAGCGACTTGCTTGTCCTGTTGGGCACATGGTCCATTGAATAATTTGTTATGCTCTCTTTCTGTTCCATACCACGAACAAGCAAATTTTGCACCTATAAGTTCTCGTGCTAAGGGTGTGTTTGGATGAAACCAAACCGTGGTTTGGAAAAGTGATTCTGGAGAATAGATTCTGAGAAGTGAGAGTGTTTGGATAGTTATTACCAGAAGCACTTTTTACATGTGGAAATTACCAAAAAGGGTATAAGTTAATATGATAATTATATAAGGAATAGATTTTATGATATATTTTGATTTGAAGAAATAAAATTGTTAATGCAAAAATTTTTACTAA